CCACGTATGGACCTTCATCCCACGACGACTACCGACGATTATCTCTACTGCGTCCCAACAACCATGCTGCCCGAGCAATGTGTTTTGGTTTCAGCATCTGTGGACGAAGAAGATATCATATCATCGGACACGCTCGGAGACGAGCCTGAACCACGAGAGTCCTGTCTAGTCTCTCTCTGCTCAACCACACCTGACGAGAGCTACTCTCTTGACAGTGATGAATATGGTCCTTACGTTGAGTTATGTTTTACATCAGAAATGTCAAAAGTAGTGTTGGATCAGACTCAACCTGCACAGCTCGACACCGATATGGTCGCAACGATGAGAGTATATGTATCCTCTGCTGCTAAACGCGCTGTGGTCGTTAAAGAAGATGATCTACTGACCAAAGCCGACATAGCAGCACATCCAAAGGAGGTTAGTGAAGCTTTGTATACTGAACTCAAAATCTGGATTGACAACCGATGCTTTGAGATGCATAATTTATCCAAAGCTTCCAACATCATGACATCCAGGTACGTATACAAGTGGAAGTTTGTAAAGGTGGGTACCGAGAACGTTAAAACCATTCGTCTCAGACTTGTCCTTCGTGGATTTATGGATACTGAGGCTTTCGACGTAGAAACATTCTCGGGAACCGCCCGAAGGCAATCCCAACGACTCCTGGCAAGTGAGGCGGCATGCCATCCAGAATGGATCTTAGCATCCATGGATATCGACAAAGGCGTTCCTCAAGGGTTTGACCTATGAGGAACTTGCCCATGCCACCGGCGAGGAAACTCGCATGGTCTGCTTCACTCTTCCACCGGGAAGTGCTCAGGTACTTCGTACACTACCCGGCTTCTCATCTTATGACGAAGGCCGACACTGCCTCAGGTGCCTCAAACCAGGAACGGGTACAAAGGACGCTCCAAGAGCGTTCTCTCTCAAACTTCGTACGACCACACGAGCTATAGGCCTTGCACCGACCAGTTATGATCCTGAGTTTGAATTCAGCCAAGATTTGCTAACGGCAAAACATGTCGATGATATTAACATGACAGGCCTAGAGAAAAATATAGACGACTATGTACAGCGTGTCGAAAAGGTGTTTGGCAAATGCAAGCTCAACAAACACACATATACGAACTGCGCCGTTCGCTACACTAAGAATGATCAAGGGGATGTGATTATGGATCAGGACGAGTATATCAAACAACTACGTCCTATCACACACCCCGAACTTACAGGAGCGGCGGCCGATGCCAAAGCCACGAAACTCATTACCGACATGTTCGTCAGCTTGCGAGGAGCCCTCGCCTATGCCCTTCTTACTCAAATCTGGCTCATGGTATACGTGGTCTCTCTCCAGAAAATCCAAGAGCCCACCAATCTGCAAGTCAGACGCCTGAATGCTGTGACGCGAAAGCTGATCAGCAGCCCGAAACGCATCACCTTCCCTCGGATGAAGCCGACGAATGAAGATGACATCCACAGCGATTCGGGGTATCGGAAGCTTACCGGGGAGGATGATGACGAGGCCGAGGGCTACGGCATACGCGGGGCGAATGTACTACGGCGAGGAAACTCGCCTCAAGGCAAGTCCGTCGTTCACCTCTGTGACGGACTATGCAAATCACACCGACTGCAGGTGAGGTCCAGCTATGCTGCGGAGGCACTCGCAGCTGCGCATAACCTCGATGAGTGTTACCCCACGCTCATCACTCTCCACGAGCTCAAGGCAGGAGCTCTGACTCCACGACAACTACGAGATATGCGTGAAGTTGGAGGCCTAGCTATCAAAGTCTCTCTTACCATAGACGCCGAGTCCGTTTATAAATCATTACCAAGCAAGGATCTTAAGATACCGACAGAGCGGACTCTGCTTAAACATATCAGTTGGATACGTGAGCTCATGGATATAGGTATAGTACATAACGTGCAGTGGTGTGATACTAGGGATATGACCGCAGACGGGCATACAGAGGGAAGCATCGATCGGGAGCTGCTTCTGGAAGTGATGTCAGGCACTCAGTCGTTCAAGTATGACGTGAAGCAGTTTGTTCCCTTTCGGGGTCCCGAGGACAGAAACAAACCCAAGTCTAATCAATTTTAGTCTGTCCTTGTTGCCCCCCCGCGGTCCAATTTGCCAGCATGGGCGCCTACTACAGAGGCGCCCTTCCAGTTGCTCGGAAACGAGCCTTACATTTCACGCCTGGCAACGAGCCAGCTTTATATGACTTAGGCTCTTTGCCTTAATACATGTTTGCTCGGTGAGGTATGGCCCGTTTGGCTAACCTCTAACTGAGCCGATAGCCCTTCATCGTTCGAAGGGGCTATCTTGCATTTGCGTGAAATGCCTTGCGAGGAAGCTCGCCTTACAGTCTGGTGTTAGGCCAGACTGTACACACTGATTTCTCTCTTGCAAACAGTTGTGCGCGCGGCCTTTGTAGAGCCTAACGGCTTCGCGGCTATGCTCTCCGTCTCCTCCCCTCCCGACTTTAAGGGTTGCTCTTTGGGAGATGTTATAGTATCGGGAGCATAGCTCGCGCGCCGTTGCCTTTGGCTCAAGGCACGCGCGCCCTATTTGCCCGGACACCGAGAGTGTTCGCTATGTGCTGGAAAGACCGATACATCGATCTTATCCTATATTTTCCGTCCATTCCTCTTACTGAACCACGTCAGTACGATACCGGACGCTATTTGCCATCCGATGTCTACCGAATCGGATGCTATTTGAGTTGCCAGGCTCACTTTCGACTCGCAGGCACAGCGGTTACAGCCACCAGATGAGCCATCAGGGCCCCCAGCTGACCTTCGAGGACCACAAGCTGAGCTACGAGGCCCAGAAGCACAGCCACGAGAGCAACCAACAGAGCCACGAGAGCCACAAGCCGAATTACGAAGACCACGGGCTCAGCTACGAGAGCCACAAGCAAGGCCGCGAGGCCCACCAGCTGAGCCACGAGGGCCACCAGCTCAGATACGACGGCCACCTTCTGAGCTACGAGGGTTACCAGGTGGATTACTAGGACCACCAGCTGAGCCACGAGGGCTGCACACCGAGCTACGAAAGCCACGAGCAGGATTACGAGGACCACCAGCTGAAGCACGAAGGCCACCTGCGGCGCCACGAGGGCAACCAGCTAAGCTACGAGGCAACAAGCAGAGCTACTACGCCCACCGGCAGAGTTTCCAGGGCCTTAGGCGGACCTTCTAGGCCCACCGGCTCAGCAACGACGACCACAGGCACAGCGGTTACAGCCACCAGAAGAGCTATCAGGGACCCCAGCTGACTTTTCGAAGACCACAAGCTGAGCTACGAGGCCCACAGGCACAGCCACGAGAGCCACCAGCAGAGCCACGAGTGCTGCACGCCGAGCTACGAGGACCACAGGCACGTATACGAAAGTTACGTGGGCCACCTGCTGAGCTGTGGGGGCCACGACCAGAGCTGAGCGGACAACTACAGGAGGAACTACCAGAGCCGCCTCGCGAAGAGCTGTAGGGCGACGAATTCAACTGCAAGGATCAGAAGCAGAACTCCGAGAACCACCAGCGCCTCTACAAGTGCCACCTGCGGAGCTACGAGGACCACAACCAGAGCTACGCAGGCCACAAGCAGAATGACGAGAGCCCCCCGCAGAGCTACCAGGGCAACGAACTGAACTGCAAGGGCCACGAGCAGACCTCCGAGGGCCACCAGCATAGGTACGAGGACCACCTGCTGAGCTACCACCTGCCGAGCTACCACCCTCCGAGGGCGTACGAGGACCACCTGCTGAGCTATCTGGCCAACATGCCGAGCACCGATCGCCGCGAGTAGAGCCAACGGCGGAGCTACGAGGACCACCTGAGAAGCGACCAGGGCAACCACCTGAGCTACGCGAACCACAGGCAGAACTAGGTGGGCTACAAGAACAAGCCGGAGTTCCTGAACACTCAGGATTACGACAGGCGGTGCCAGTTGTCGGGCGTGAAGGTCAGAAGCTTGACAGCGGCCTCGAGAGTGCTCTGGTCGCGCGGGATACCACCACGGAGCGCTGGGCAGTCAGATCGGGATCGATGGCCGTCAGCGTTAAAACCACCATCGTCGAGCCCATCGACAAATACCAAGAAGCGGCCTGCCGTCATGTACCAAGAGACGGCTCGAGCCTACCAATATCACGACCCTATGAAAAAACGACTACGTGATCGAGCGCTTATACGATCTCGGAGCGTATGAAGGCCAGCCAGGGTTGGCCAAATTTTTCCCCGACGCGTTCCAAGAAGAAGGCCTGCTTGACGCAGTCTACGACCGGATGGCGCAACAGTTACGGTGAGACGTGCCGCCGTTGATTATGGCACTCCAGCGATCTTCTTTTCATGCCAATAGCACACTTGCTCTACAGCGCTACAGACAAGGGTGCTACGGGCATGTACCACGTCTACAGCGCTACAAACAAAGTACTCCGTGCACAATGCGACTGCCAATGTATTACGTCCACAGCAAGTACATATGATACGGCTGAATACTCCGTGTACAGCGCTACCCTCAAGGTACGCCATGCAGCACGTCACGGGCAAGGTATTACGTCATCGGCAATTGCTAGTCCCTGGAGTGGCCCCGCCGCTCGACCCACCTCGTCCTTCTTTTCGACGACCGCAGTTTTGAGGATGGTTAGCACGGTGGCCTCCCCTCCCCCGCCCCCTCTTGCAAGGGCGGGCCGCTTCGGCCCCGCACGCGCGCGCGTCGCGGGCGCGGCCCAGCCCGAGGGAACCGCGCTTAGCGGCCGCGGAGGAAGGAGGGAGGGGGCCCCGAGGGAAGCGGAGACTGCAACCCCAACGCGAGGGTCCCTCCCATGCGTGATGGGGGCCGCCGGGCTGCCCCTGGTCTTTCCTGGTGGACGCGGAGGAGGAGGAGGACGACGACGACAACGAGGAGGAGGGAGAGAAGTGAGAGGGAAGAGGGAGGAGGAAGGAAGGACGAACGAGGAAGGAGGACTCGCAGGAGTACTCCTCTTCCGCCCTCATTCCTCGACAGGCGTACGATAAGTTCATGACCGACTCTTCCGAAGACAAGTCCGCGAAGACCACCGACCACGACCACAAGACGTCTAAGAAGGAGGGGCCCCAGCTGTTCGGGCGCACGCCGCCACCATTCCTCGTTTCTCCCATTCCTTCTCCTCGTCCTCCTCCTCATCCTCCTCGTCTTCCTCCTCCACAATCCCTCCTCCTCTTCCTCATCCTCCTCACGTTTCTCCTCTTCATTTCTCTCTACTCTCTACTACCTCCGCCTGGTCCTCCTGCTGATCCTCCTCCTTCTCGTGCTCCTCCTCTCCGCTCCTCCTCCTCCTCCTCGTCCTCCTCCTCCTCCTCGTCCTCGTCCTCGTCCTCCTCCTCCTCCACAACCCCTCCTCTTCCTCGTAGTCCTCACTTTCCTCCTCCTAATTTCTCTCTACTCTCTCCTACCTCCGTCTGATCCTTCTGCTGCTCCTCCTCATTCTCGTGCTCCTCTTCCTCCTCCTCCTCCTCCCCCTCGTCCTCCTCCTCCCCCTCCTCCTGCATTCCTTTCCTTTTCCTTACTAAGAATTCCCCCTTGTCGCACCCCGAGGCCGGTCGAAAGGGCGGGCTGGCCGTTTCACAAAAGACTTTCTCGCCATTCATGACCTTGAAACTTAAAGATTGGCAGCAGCTTCACACATTCAAGGAGGATGTTTTTAAATGCTGTTCTCGCCTAGGCGCGGCGCACATTCGTGTTAAACATGTGCAAGCGTTGCACGGATTTAGGGCGGGCCGCTTTCAAAATCTCGTTCTCGCCTTACCGCCGCGCACAGTAGTTGTAAGAAATTGCAAGAGCCTCACATATTGAGGGCGGGTCGTTTTCAGAATGTGGTTATCGCTCTTGCGCCGCGCACATTCCTTTAAAAAATTGCCTGATGTTCACTGATTGGGGGCAGTTCGTTTTCAAAATGTGGCTCTCGCCTTAGCGCCACGCGCATTCGTTTTTTCCAAATGCCAGAGTTTCACGGATTGAGGGCGGTCCGTTTTCAATGAGTGTTTCTCGCCGTAACACTGTGCACATCCGTTTTTTGTATTGCAAGGGTTTCACGGATTCGCGCCAGAAACTATGTGTTGGAAGTGTTTTGGATCGCGAGGATGCAACAGATACGTTGGTTCGCGGTGCTGACGTCCCAGGAACGGCGTTCTGGCACGATTCAGGAGCGTCAAAACGCAACAGTCAGGATAAGCCGTGGCGTGGAGTCACGAGAATGGTGTTGTGGAACGCTTCAAGGTCTTCAAACGGTTGTCTCCCAACGAGGCAGTTCCCTCAGCGGAAATGAATCTTTGAAGGGGCCTGTGAAGAGGGGGCTTGGAGGGAGAGATGATTCCAACATCGTTGATGAATCTTGGGTTTACACTGGTCCTCCTCCTCCTCCTCGTCATCCCTCCTCCTCCTCCTCTTCCTCCTCCGCGCACTCGTCCCCCCTCTTGCAGGGCCCCTACTCCCCCCTCCCGGCGTCGACTTCCGTCCTCCCCCCATCCCCTCCTCTCCTCGTCCCCCTCCATCCCCCCGTCCCTCCCTCCCTCCCCCCTCCCCCCCCCTCCTCCCCCCCTCACTCCTCCTCACGGCGACGGCGACGCTGCTGACGAGCGGCGGCGACGGGGGCGACGGAGCGGATCGGGGCCCAGTGGGCCCATCTTGGGGCCAACGCGGCCGGCCTGCGGCGAGGCGCCCGCCGCCGTCGATCCCAGCACCGCCGCGGAGGTCTTCGCCAATGGCCTTCGTCGTTTCACTCGTCGCTGCATGCTTCCCTCCTCCGCCCCCCTTGCGCGCGGAGGGAGGAGGAGGAGGAAGGAGGAGGCACGAGGGGGAGCGGGAGAGGGGGGAGTCGTCTTTGCCGCGGTGGGGGAGCCCACTGGTCGGGCTGGCGGGCGAGAGGACACGTCGTCGTCGTCGTTGTCCTCGTCGTCGTCGTCGTTTGCCGGCGCCAGTGGTGGTTAATTTTCATGCTGGGGAGAGAGAGAGAGAGAGGGGCAGGGGGGTTCGAGCCCCCCCCCCTTGACTGTAGAGGGGGGAGGAGGGGGGGCCGTTCGTACCCCCCTCCCCGACTTCCTCACAGCGTACTCGGATGATCTTTCCGTGCTGACGCATGGCGTTTGCACAGAGTCATTTGCAAGCCAGCGTTCTAGTCTTACCGAGAGCCCGATGAACAGATTTGTCCGTATTGATGCGCGCGATGGTTGCCGCACAAGAGCCTTACTATTCTTGGCAGTATTATTCATTCATCATTTATCCTCATGCTCATACTCCTTTTGCTGTTTCTCTTATTGCTCCTTACCCCCCTCTTCAGGAGGATCAGGAGTCGGCCCACACCTCGAAGAAGGAGGACCTCGCTGGCACCCAGAAGGACGGGAATGCCACTGGAGTGGGGCCCTCCATCTTCTCATCTTCCTGCTCCTCCTCCATGCTTCTCGTCTTCCCCGTCATCCTCCATCCCCCTTGTCCGCATCCTCATCATGCCCCCACCCCCCACCCCCATCTTAATCAATGCCCTTCCTCCTCCTGTTGGCTCCCGTTGGTTTGTCCCCAGGTACCATCTCACCCCGATGAGCATGCCAAAACTTGAGAAACCCACGAACCCGTTAAGGAACTGGAGTCAAATTTTCGTATGACGCGCGTGCGACATTTTCAATTTGCTTGTCTGCAACCACTACAGCCTGCACGTCCTGCTTCTCCTCCTCCTCCTCCTCCTCCTCCCCCTCCTCCTCCTTCTCCTCCTCCTCCTCCTCCTCCTCCTACTCTCCTTCCTCCTCCTCCTCCTCCTTGTCCTCCTCCTCCTCCTCGTTCTCTTCCTCGTTGTCCTCCTCCTCCTCCGCCTCCTCATCCTCATCCGCATCGTCCTCCTCCTCATCATCCTCGTCCTCTTCCCTCCTCCTCCTCGTTACCCGTTTCCTCCTCATCATCATAATCATCATAAGCATCATCAGTAGCAGCAGCATCATCAGCAGCATAAGAATACGAATCATCATCATCGTCATCATCATCATCAGCAGCATCATCATCATCCCCATCAGCATCATCATTATCATCATCAGCAGCAGCATCAGCATCATCAGCATCAGCATCATCAGCATCAGCATCATCAGCAGCAAAATCATCAGCATCATCATCAGTCTCTCCTCCTCATCCTTCTCATCCTCCTCCTCATCATCATCAAGCTCCTCCTCATCCTATTCCTCCACCTCCTCATCCCCCTCCTCCGCCTCCTCCTCCTGCTCCTCTTTCTCCTGGTTCTCATCCTCATCCTCAACCTCCTCATCCCTCCTCATCCTCGTTCCCTTTCTCATCCTCCTCCTCATCTTCCTCCTCCTGCGTCTCCTCCCCCTCCTCATCATTATCATCCCCCCTTCTCCTCCTCCTCCTCGTCCTCCTCCGCCTCCTCCTCCTCCGCCTCCTCCTCCTCCGCATCCTCCTCCTCATCCGTCTTCTCCTCCTGGTGCTCCTCCTCCGCCTCCTCCTCATCTTCATCATCTTCCTCCTCATCCTCCTGCTCCTCCTCCTCTCCTCCTCCTCTTCCTCCTCCTCATCCTCCTCATCATCATCCTCATCCTCATCCTCATCCTCCTCCTCATATTCCTCATCCTCCTCCTCATCATCATCAGCATCATCAGCGGCATCAGCATCATCATCATCAGCAGCAGCATCATCCTCATCCTGATCATCGTCATCGTCCTCATCCTCGTCCTCAAACCCTCCCTCCTCCTCATCCTCCTCCTCCGCATCTGCATCCGCATCCGCGTCCGTTTCCTATGTTTGTTCTTCCTCGTCACCATCATCATCAGACTTATCCTTCTCCTCCTCCTCCTCCTTCTCCGCCTCCTCCTCCTCCGCCTCCTCCTCCTCCTTCTCCGCCTCCTCCTCCTCCGCCTCCTCCTCCGCCTCCTCCTCCGCATCCGCCTCCTCCTCATCCTCCGCCTTCTCCTCCTCATCCTCCTCCTCCTCCTCCTCCTCCTCCTCCTCCTCCTCCTCATCATCATCATCAGCAGCAGCATTAGCATCATCATCATCATCATCATCATCATCAGCAGCATCTCCCTCCTCATCCTCCTGCTCCTCACCCTCCGCCTCATCATCATCATCATCATCATCATCATCATCATCATCATCCTCATCCTCATCCTCATCCTCTTCCTCATCCTCATCCTCATCCTCCGTATCATGTTCCTATTAGTGTTCTTCGTGTTCCTCATTATCATCATCATCAGATTTATCTTTCTCTTCCTCCTCCTCCTCAGTCTCATGCTTCTCATCCTCCTCCTCCTCATCATCATCATCATCATCAGTACCATCATCAGCAGCAGCAGCATCAGCATCAGCAATCATCATCATCATCATCATCATCATCATCATCATCATCATCATCATCATCATCAGCATCATCGTCATCGTCATCGTCATCGTCATCATCAGCATCATCAGCATCATCATCATGTTCCCCCTTGTTCCTCCTCATTCTCCTCCTCCTCCTCCTCCGCCTCCTCCGCCTCCTCCTCCTCCTTCTCCTGTTTCTCCTCCTCCTCCTCCTCATCCTCCTCCCCCTCCTCCTCCTTCTCCCTCCCTCCCTCCCTCCCTCCCTTCCTCCTTCCTCCTTCCTCCTTATGTCAGCTTTCTCCTTACCCCTGCGTCTGTGTCCTCCTCGTTGCCGTCCCCCTCCTGCACGGTGACGCCCGTCACCTGTTGGGCGCCTGTTGGCCCCCGCCCCTCCGCGCGCGCACTGGCTTTCACGCGCGAAGAACTCTCCGCCCCCAAGCTGGGCCCCTCGCCTGCGGCCCCGTCGTGGTCCGCACCGCGTGCACGCGCCAGGCGCATGTTATGGCCCCCCCCCATCCTCCTCCCCCTCCCCCTCCCTCCCCCTCCCCCTCCTCATCCTCCTCTCCCTCCTCCTCCTCCTCCTTCTCCTCCTCCCTCCTCCTCATCCTCCTTCCTCCTCCTCTCCTCCTCCTCCTCCTCCTCCTCCTCCTCCTTCCTCCTCCTCCTCCTCCTCCTCCTCCTCCTCCTCCTCCCCTCCTCCTCCTCCCTCCTCCTCCTCCCAACTCCCACTCCCCCTCCCCTCCCCCTCCTCCTCCTCCTCCTCCTCCGCCTCCTCCTCCGCCTCTCCTCCTCCTCCGCCTCCTCCTCCTCATCATCATCATCAGCATCAGCATCTCATCATCCTCCTCCCCCTCCTCTTCGTTCTTCCCCCATACTCACGAGAGAGCCCGAGAGGAGCTCGACGCCGCGCTGACCTACTTCGACAAGCTGAAGCCCTCTTGCGTTGATGCCGGGGTCAGCTACGACAGCAGGGTGGGCAACCGCAAGGAAGAGATCCTCGGGGCTGCCGCCGCGCCCGCCGGCTCCGTCCACGCGACCTGCAGTGGGTGCCTGCCAAAATTTCGGTCGACTCCTCCTCCTCCTCCTCCCTCCTCCTCCTCCTCCTCCTCCTCCTCCTCCTCCTCCTCCTCCTCCCCTCCCCTCCTCCTTCCCCTCCTCCTCCTCCCCTTCCCCTCCGCCTCCTCCTCCTCCTCCTCCTCCTCATCCTCCTCCTCCTCCTCCTCCTCCTGCTCCTCCTCGCGACGACGCAAATTTCGGTCGACTTGAACCACACTGAAGATGCCGAGGTCGGCGTTTCGGGGGAGCGCGCCGACGTCGGTCAGACGTGGGGCCCCAGAGGGGCCCAAACCCTCGTGCTCTCCGCACCATGCCCCTCCGAAAGGCACCGCGACTTCGAGAATCGATATGCCCGCCCGAACGCTTAGACGGGTGTGGCCCTCTTGCGCGCTTCTGGGGGCTTCCAGAGGCGTTTGGGGGCGTCTGGGGTCACGTTGCAGCTTCGGGGGACCTTGTCTTTCCTGTAGTCGGCCGTCTGCGTTGGTACCCGACACGGATCCGACGTGGATGCGACGCGGACTCGACTCGACGTGGATTCGACGCGAATCCGACGGTCGAGGCGGATTCGACGCGGATAGCGGCGCGATGTGACAGGGAAGGCCCGTCGAGGATGCAGCGGAGTTCTGGCGACCTTCGGGTAACTCTGGAGGCATCGGGTCCGGGCCCTTCCCGAAATTTTCGATAAATAACAGGAGCCTTTGGGGGACCCTTACGGGGGGGGGCGACAGGGGAGGAGGACAAGCTGGGCGCGCTCGCGCCGTATCTGACATCCGTCCCATCCCACGCAACCCTTCCCAAGGTTCTGACTCCTTCTCTACCCACCGACTTGGAATGTTCTAGAGGATCTTAATCCAAAAAATACCCCCATCGCGAGATGTGCAATCAGCAAGGGGGCCCTTAGCTCGGAGGAGAAGGAGGAGTTGAGCAGCAGGAGGAGGAAGAGAAGAAGGCTATCGAGAAGGAGGAGGAGGAGGAAGAAGAAGAAGAAAAAGAGGAGGAGGCGGAGGAGGAGGAGGAGGAGGAGGTGGAGTATCAGTGGAAGGCAGAAGAGGGAACAGGGGGGGAGATGCTAAAGACAAGGGCCGAGTCGGATAGAGAAACGTGGCCCGCTCTCGGGGAAGAGCGCCATTCGGAACGACGGGAGCAGAGCGCCAGTCTTGAAATGTGGCCAGCGCCCCAGCGGCAGCCCCAGTCTTGGAGAACCGAGAGCGCTCCGATCGAAGAGGCGGCGGCACCGCTGGACATGGTTAGTTGAGAACGGAGAGTCGTATTCATGTTCGGTTAGCTAAGGTCACCGCCGCCCCCTGCCTGTGTGGAAATGCCGACGCGCCCAAACGTGAGGCCAAAGCTTCGTCAAGCTATCGGACCATGCGTCCCCCCAGCTGGTGTGGAACCCTTCGGAGGAGGAAGACGGACAGGAGCAGGAGAGGGAGGAAGAGGAGGAGGAGGCGGAGGAGGCGGAGGAGGAGGGGGAGGAAAAGGAGGAGGAAGAGGAGGAGGAGAAGGGGAGGAAGAGGAAGAGGAGGTGGAGGAGGAGGAGGAGGAGCCCCCCCCCCCTGTAAAAGACGAACACGCCCCACGGACACACAACTCGGGCGAGAGCTCCGTCTTGAAAGAGGCTGCCCCTCGCCCTCGAGCCATCAGAAGTCAAAGGGGGGAAAAACACCCAGACCCCGACATTCGGCGTTTCCTAAAAGGCCCTGGGCGCTTACTGGACAACCCTGCCATGTTCGAGTCCTTCCTTGGGTGCTTTGACTAAGCGGCCCCGCTTGTCGGGGTGCTCATGATGGGGGTGGATGTTCTGCCCTCTAAGGAAGCCGACCAGATTTCGTCATCAAGTTCAAAAAGAAGTGCGGCGCGGCATCCCCCTTGTGGCGAAAGGAAAGGAAACGCACCCTCCATCTCCGCGCAGCTGCTGCACAGTTCAGACTTCAAAACTTCCTGGCATGAAATCAAACCGTGGTGTCGCAAGCGAGATCCCCATTTTGAAGAGGAACCGCCCTCGATCCGTGCAACTGATGCACATGGTTGCGCTTGTGATAACAACTAACGGTTTGCCATCCATCCCTCTCACTGATGGAAGCCAGTAAGACGAATGCGTGCGGCGCTAAGGCATTTACCGCCTGGCCTGAACGGGGGCTGTCGGCAGTCGTGCGCCATCTTGGTGTTCCGTTGGGCCGTATCGGGCGCCTCCGTGGCCTCGTGCCTTGGGGCCCTCACAGATCGACCGTGGGCCGTCTTGGTGGCTTCGTGGTGCCTTCTGGGTCCGTCTCGGGGCCCTCGAAAAGCTCCTCCCTGGCCCTGCATCCTTCTAACTGTTGTTGTTCATTGTAGTTCCAGGTTCGTAATGAGCAGAGGAGTCTCACGCGAAACGCCCGGTCCAGCCTGCGGGCACGCGTTGTGGTGCGACATGGAGGAGTCATCCATTGGAGTCGTCTTTGGGGAACAGGGGGGAGGAGGAGGAGGAGGAGAAGGAGGAGGAGGAGGAGGAGGAGGATGAGGAGGAATAGGAGGAGGCCGAAAGGGAGGAGGAGGAGGAGGAGGGAGGAGGCCGACGAGGGAGGAGGATGATGAGGAGGAGGAGGAGGAGGAGGCCGAAAGGGAGGAGGAGGAGGAGGAGGCCGACGAGGAGGCGGCCTCCTGATGGGGACCTCTTGGTGGCCTCCTGGAGCCATCCAGGGCCGTCTGGGAGCCATCTCTGCCCGTCCTGGGGCCATACTGGGCCAGAGTGGTCTGCTGGCCGGGGGGGGGGGAGGGGGCCTCTTGGCTCGTCTTGGAGGCTGTACGGGGCCACGTTGGCCAACTTGGAGGCAATCCTGGACCGTCCAGGGGCGCTCCCGGGGTCCCCGTGGATGCCGCGTGGGCCGTCCGAGGCTATCGGGTGAGCCCTCTCGAACTGCACAGGGCGGGGCCCTTCGCCCAGGTAACAGCTGTGCAGCGTGTGTGTGTGTGTGTGAATGTGTGTGAATGTGTGTGTGTTTGTGTGTGAATGTGTGAGTGTGTGTGTGTGTGTGTGTCTGTGTCTCTGTGTGTCTCTCTGCGTCTCTCTGTGTCTCTCTGTGTCTCTCTGTGTCTCTCTGTGTCTCTCTGTGTCTGTCTGTGTCTCTCTGTGTCTCTCGGTGTCTCTGTGTGTCTCTCTGTGTCTCTCTGTGTCTCTCTGTGTCTCTCTGTGTCTCTCTGTGTCTCTCTGTGTCTCTCTGTGTCTCTCTGTGTCTCTGTATGTCTCTGTGTGTCTCTGTGTGTCTGCGTGTGTCTGTGTGTGTCTGTGTCTTTCTGTGTGCCTCTGTCTGTGTCTGTGCGTGTCTGTGTGTGTCTGTGTGTGTCTGTGTGTGTGTCTGTGTGTGTCTGTGTGTCTGTGTGTGTCTGGGTGAGTCTGTGTGTGTCTGTGTGTGTCTGTGTGTCTCTGTGTGCCTCTCTGTGTGTGTGTGTCTGTGTGTGTCTGTGTGTGCCTGTGTGTCTCTGTGTGTCTCTGTGTGTGTCTCTCTGTGTCTCTGTGTGTGGCTCTCTGTGTCTCTCTGTGCGTGTTTCTCTGTGTCTCTCTGTGTCTCTCCGTGTCTCTTTGTGTCACTCTGTGTCTCCCTGTGTCTCTCTGTGTCTCTCTGTGTCTCTCTGTGTCTCCGTGTGTCTCTCTGTGTCTCTCTGTGTCTCTCCGTGTCTCTTTGTGTCTCTCTGTGTCTCTCTGTGTCTCTCTGTGTCTCTCTGTGTCTCTCTGTGTCTCGCTGTGTCTCTATCTGTGTCTCTCTGTGTGTCTCTCTGTGTGTTTCTCTCTGTGTCTCTCTCTGTGTCTCTCTCTGTATCTCTCGCTGTGTGTCTCTCTCTGTGTCTCTCTGTGTGTCTCTCTCTGTGTCTCTCTCTGTGTCTCTCTCTGTGTCTCTCGCTGTGTGTCTCTGTGTGTGTCTCTCTGTGTGTCTCTCTCTGTGTCCTTCTGTGTGTCTCTGTGGGTGTGTCTCTCTGTGTGTGTCTCTGTGTGTGTCTCTGTGTGTGTCTCTGTATGTCTGTGTGTGTGTCTCTGTGTGTGTCTCTGTGTGCGTGTCTGTGTGTGTGTCTCTGTGGGTGTGTCTCTGTGTGTGTGTCTCTGTGTGTGTGTCTCGGTGTGTGTCTCTCTGTGTGTGTCTCTGTGTGTGTCTCTGTGTGAATATGTGTGTGTCTGTGTGTGTGTCTCTCTGTGTTTCTCTGTGTGTGTCTCTGTGTGTGTCTCTGTGTGTGTGTCTCTGTGTGTGTCTCTGTGTGTGTGCCTCTGTGTGTGTCTCCGTGTGTGTGTGTGTTTGTGTGTGTGTCTGTGTGTGTGTGTCTCTGTGTGTGTGTCTCTGTGTGGGTCTGTCTCTGTGTGTGTCTCTGTGTGTCTCTCTGTGTGCGCCTCTGTGTGTGTCTCTGTGTGTGTCTCTGTGTGTGTCTCTGTGTGTGCCTCTGTGTGTCTCTGTGTGTGTGCCTGCGTGTATCTGTGTGTGTCTCTGTCTGTGTGTCTGGCTGTGTGTGTGTCTGTGTGTGTGTCTGTGTGTGTCTGTGTGTGTGTCTGTGTGGGCCTGTGTGTGTCTGTGTGTGTCTGTGTGTGTGTGTCTCTGTGTGCGTGTGTCTGTGTGTGTGTCTATGTGTGTGTCCGTGTGTGGATGCCTGTGTGTGTCTGTGTGTGTTTTTGTGTGTGTGTGTCTGTGTGTGTGTCTGTGTGTGTCTTTGTGTGTGTCTGTGTGTGTCTGTGTGTGTGTCTGTGTGTGTGTCAGTGTCTTTGTCTGTCTGTGTGTGTGTCTGTGTGTGTATCTCTGTGTGTGTCTCTGTGTGTGCCTCTGTGTGTGTCTGTTTGTGTCTGTGTGTGTGTCTCTGTGTTTGTCTGTGTGTGTGCCTCTGTGTGTGTCTGTGTGTGTGTCTGTGTGTGTGTGTCTGTGTGTGTGTCTCTGTGTGTGTCTGTGTGTGTATCTGTGTGTGTGTTTCTGTGTGTGCTTGTCTGTATG